TCTTCGGCGCTCAGCCTTCTTTATGGTCCAGCTCTCACAGCCATACATTACTACTGGAAATGTTTTGTATAGCGGTCCCAAATTATAGAATTCCTGCATATGTAATGTTCACCAGGAATATTTATTGTTTTTTAAGTCACTCAGCAAAATTTCCTGTTACCATGAGCATTTAATGATTTTTATGATTCTGTCAAAGAATCCCCCTGAAATATCTCAGCTTCTTTTGTTCCACTTTCTGTTGTATTCAGTGGTTTGAATAGGTGCAGGAAAAATACTGTTATCAGTTTTTGCACTTAAATAAATCCTTCCAATTCAGTGTATGCATAGAAGTACGTGAACATTTGAATCATACAAATGCAAAAGATGGCTGTTATTCCAAGTTAATTACTGCAGAATAATGTGATTTCAGATATGCAGCTGAGAATCATATCCTAGCAATGGGATTATTCATAGCCAACAGGCAGTGATTTTTAAAGTTAACAGATGAAGAGTTGGCTGAGTAATGTCCATACATCTGAATAACTATGAAGATCAGTAGTTTAAAAAAAAAACAAACTAGTGTGTATCAAGATGAGCCTAAATGTTGCCCTACTGGATAAAACCCAAAATCTAATTTAGTATACTGTTCCTAGCAATTTCACAGAGTTTCCTAGGAGGTCAGAAAGCAGAGAAACTGGCAACCTGCCTTTATTGATCATATCATTTGGCATTCAGATGTATATTGCTCCTGAACATATCTGCTCCACTTACGATCGATCTTCTATTAATCTGTACAATCCATTTTAATCTGCGGCCCTCCAGAGATTGCTGGACATCAACTCCCATCAAGCAGCCAGGCAATCCAACCTCTGGAAAGACAGATTCTCCATCCCTGCTTCTATGTTTATTTTTAAAGCAATTTCAGGAAACGATTTCTGTCCTCTTCCCTGGAACGTACTCTCTCGTCCATGGGGACAGGACGGCAACTTTGGACAGGCTCGCGGGGGCTGCCGCGTTTTATGCGAAGCGACTTGCCAAAGTTGCCCGCGGGTGAGCCGCGCGGATAATACCGTGGCCGATTCCCCCGGCGGGTCCAGCAGGAAGAGGCTTCGGCTCCGGGCGCGGAGGCTGTGGCGGAGGGCGTGCAAGGCGCGCCAAGCGGGAGGCGAGCCAGGCAGGCTCCGCGGGACCGTCTCAGCAGCCGAGCCGCGCTCCAGCAGGCCAAAGAGGGCGCGTCGCAGGCGGCGCGACGGCCTGCTGTATGGAGGAGCAGGGGGAGGAGCAGGTGCCCCAGCCGACGACGTGCGCCGTCCTCCTCCTAGGCGAGCTGGGGGGGCCGCCGGCGCTACCGCCGAGATGCACAGCAGCAGCAGCGGCAGCGGCGGCGGCAGCAGCAGCAGCGGCGAGAGCAGCACGCCGGCGTCGCCGTTCCCTCACCATTTGCCAGCCCGCGATCGTGTCTGCGCATGACCCCTCCCCGCCGCCCGCTCCCTAGCAGGGGAGAAGGTTAGGCGGAGAGAGGATTTCCTCCGTCTTCCACATTGGCGGCTGCTCGGAGGCGACGCAGTGCAGAGGTGT